ACACAGTCAGCCACTAAGCATGAACAAGGAAGAACAACGAATCAAAGAAAAAATCCGTCGACACTAACTCTTCCAGCTACAGAAAACACAACAGCAAGAGGAGAAATTGAAAACCACTCCACCTCACGTTGAAACATAGGTGGAAAATGATGATAGATCCAGCAACCCCACCCACTTAGCCAACAGACATGAACGAAGAGAAGAACAGCAGACACCCACAGCAGTGAAAGAAGCACAGGTTGACGATGAGCTAAGGAAAATTGATGAGAGGAGCTAAAGGAATGGACCGATAGTGAAGAACTTGAGGAGAGTTATGGCGGTAAAGAGAAGGAAATGAAATTCTCTGTTTCAGCCTCAGATTGTCGAATAAATGGAAAATTTTTCTGATTAAAAACTCAATTGAGAAAATTACCTAAGAGGCCATAACTCTTTTCTTTTATCACCTAAAAGACCTGGTACTTTGGAAAATTTTACCATAATAAAAACAAAATAAAAACCAAACTTTTATTTAGTAGAATTTAAACTCTGAGCCTTTAAGTAAGTTATTAACATAATTTTACCAGGCTACTACTCCCCATTTGTCATAAAACTACAACAAATAAATTAAAATCAATTAGAGGAAAAGTTTATTTATTATTATTATTATTTTTTAGGTTATTACAAAATGCTTCTCAAGCATGCTTTAAGCCTGATTGATGAAGATAAGGGAACCATAGAACAAGTGTCTCAAGCAGGCTTAGAACTTACATTAACAACTGTAAAATTCAAATAGACATTAGGCTTTGAACTGCTCGAATAATCCTCACTTGAACACAAAACAGAATCATGTGAATTTTCTCATCCTTGTCTCAGGACTCCTCATCTAGCTAACCCTCTCCATCAATTCTATCCCAACCAAATAGTCCAAGTGATCGATCTCTTCGTTTAGCTTGTCCTGTTCTTTTTGAAAAAGACCTCTACGACACAACCATGTGAACTCCAAGAGGTCTTGTCTTCCAATAAGTACTATCACAAAATCTCTCACCCGCCAATTATTGAAGGAAAACGAATCTATCCATCTTCTATATATATACTCATACTCCCTTGCATTTCAGAAGCAACACAACAACTCTACAACAATATCCTCAAACACCTAAATTTGAGGAGTTTCTTCTTATTCTTTTGAACACAAAAAATGGGTTTTCGTTTGCGTGGAATTAGAAGGGCTTCAATTGCTACAAAAATGGCTTCTTCAAATCAAGAGAAGTACCAAAAGGCTATCTTGCAGTTTATGTTGGAGAGGAAATGAAGAGGTTTGTGATCCCAATATCATACTTGAATCAGCCTTTATTCCAAGAGTTGTTAAGCCAAGCTAAGGATGAGTATGGATATGATCATCCAATGGGTGCTCTCACTATTCCTTGCAATGAAGATGTCTTCCTCAACATCACTTCTTCTTTTGATCGGTGCTAGCTAGCTGACAAAGACAAGTTTAATATAGATTAGTTAACACAAATTTTTAAGGAGAAATTTAGATCCATTTTCTTTGCAAATATTTTTGTACTTTTTCTTCCCCTTGTTGGGAAGTGCAAATATGTTTATCTCAACGACAAATTGGTGAATAGACATTCTCACGTTGTCTCAATCAATTATCTATATCAAAGACAATGAATTTTTGGTTTAAGAAAAAAATAGTAATATTCTTTAATCTAGTTATTCTAGTCTTGATTTCGTTATATATAGCGGTATCATTTAGATTTATTTAGTGAATTCCCTTGGGAAATGATCTTCGAAATACGAAACACAATTTCCAGACTTCCACTTTATCTTTAACTTCCTATGTTAGAGTTCCAAGATTCCAAATGGAGCATATTAAGAAGATTTAAAAAAAAAATGATTTATTTGTTACTCATAATATACAACTTTAGATTTCGTGGGAAAACTTAATTTCAAAATAATTGTATTTTATGAAGATGTAACACCGTGTGTGTGTGTGTGGTGTGTGTTTCTGGTAATGGTCTTCGGTGATATATCTAAATTCATAAAAAATATGTGAACATGGTTCAACAGCTGGTAATTAAGACTGGGAAGGTAATTATATAGAACTTTCTGGGTCCACCTTTTCTTTTTTTTTTTAATGGATTTTGGCTTGTGGAGGGGTTCCACAAAAATGTTATCACAAATGTCAAAGTAATACCAAAATTAGAAGTTCGAACCCTTGAAGCGCTATTGTTTTGTGTGTGTGTGTGTGTAGCATCCATCTATTTTAATCTCTCTCTCTCTCTCTCTCTCTCACATGCACGCGCGCAGATGAGTTGGCCTGATAGTTGTACTTCATTTGTTCAAGAATATAAGACATTTTTTGAGTGATTGGATGCTAAAATACGTAAGGTATTTTTAGTATTTCAAAATGTAATCATCACATTTTTTCCCAACATGCCCCTATTGAATAATTACTTCATATTTATTTTAGAGTAAAACACCTTATTACAAGAGGTAAGGGTAAAAATAAAAAAATAATGTTAGTTTTAAGACAAATAACTACTTTATTTTCAGTTAAAAATACCTTAGATTTTTAAATAGAGGAAATATGCACCAACTGTGATGAATACTGGCTATTGAATTGAGTTTACATATTTTCCATAAATTGAGATGATATCATTGAAGACAAAGACATAAATGATGTTTCCTCACCGGCTCTCCTTGTGGCTTTCCATCCATTCCATTAATACCCATCTTTAATTGGGTTTCCTCTACCCATAAATTACTTAAATGAAATTAAGATAATAGAATTTAATGAGGAAATTATATTTTTATAATAAAAAAGTATTATTTTCATAATTCTTCTAAATAGTTTCGTTGGATTAACTTGCTTGCACTTGTATAGAGACACTTTTTATGGCCTAATATGTATGTATGTGTATAAATGGATATAGTCTCTTTTGTTTCCCTAAAACAACCTTCATTTGAATTTACTGGATCATAGACATATGACATTCTCTTCTCAACCTTATTGTAATAACGAAAGTTTTGGCGCCACTACTGAAAGGTCAAAGTGCAAAACATTCATAATGATCGAAATCACAAGAAATTGTCTATTAAAAAAATTTTTCACCGAGACAAACAATTTTACACTTCCAAAGAAAAGGAAGAAAAAGAGGGGGCAAATCATTACATTGCAAAATTATCATCTGAATTGCCTTCTATACAAATTGTGTTAGACTAATCCAAGTTAATGCTCTCTTTCCAAGCTAGCACCCATTGAAGGAAGAAGTGACTTTTAGGAAGATATCTTCTCTGTAAGGAATAGTGAGAGCTCCCATCAGATGATCATACCCAAATTCTTCTTCAGCTTCATTTAGCAACTCTTGAAATGAAGGTTGATTCAAGTAAGATACAGGGATAAAAAACCTTTTCATTTCCTCTCCAACATATATTGCAAGATATCCCTTTGGCACTTCACTAGATTTTGAAGAAGCCACTCTTGTGGCAAAAGAAGACCTCCTGATTCCTGGTAAACGAAAACCCATTTGTTTCTGTGTTTAAGAAGAGCATAAGAAAGGAAGTGTTTGAATAATTTTGATGCTTGAGAGTATTTGTGAAAGATTTGCCTTGCTTGCTTCTGAAGGCGTACAATTAATTATAAGTATATATAGATGAATGGTCGAGGAAAGGTTATGTGATGGGGCTAAATTATCAGAAGACAAGGGCATATAGAGATCACATGGAGTTGTCTTAGAGGTCTTTTTCAAAAAAAAAAAGTCAGGTTGAGATTGGTTATGATTGAGGAAGGATCAATTAAGCGAGGGTGTAGACCAGAGACATGGATGAGAAGTATCACATGATAATGTTATATGTCTTCCTCAAATGTCAATAAGATAAGCGAAACTGCTCAGAGCTTGATGTCTATCTAAAGGTTTTTATAATTGTTAGTTTAGTTGGCATGCGAGAGACATATTAACTTTCAGTAGGATTGATGTAAAGAAACCATATAAGAGGTGAATGTCTCACGCATGTCAAGAACTTAAATTAAAATGATAGTTGTAAAATTCTTCAAATATATTAACCTTTGACTTGCTCAAGTGATCCTTCTTGAACACAAAAACAGAATCATCTGATCCTTCTCATCCATGTCGCAGGACTGGATTGTACCTTTAGCTAATCCTACCATCAATATCATGTGGTCCAAGTCCTCTCTTCATTTGGCTCGTCCTGACTTGTTGCTTATTGAAGAAGACCTCTCTAAGACACAACCATGTGATCTTAAAGAGAGCTTATCTTCTAATAGGCATTATCACATAACCTCTCACCCACCAATTATTGAAGGATAACAAAACCATTCATTTATATAAACTCATATAATCTTGCATTTCATAAACAAAACCGCTCATCAACATTATCTTCGAGCATTTGAATTTCAGCACTATCTTCACTTAAACACAAAATATGGGTTTTCGTTTACCTAGAATTAGAAGGGCTTCAATTACAACAAAAATGTCTTCTTCAAAATCAAGCCAAGTACTAAAAGGATATCTTGCAGTCTATGTGGGAGAGGAAATGAAGAGATTTTTTATCCCAATATCATACGTGAATCAACCTTCATTTTAGGAGTTGTTAAGCCAAGCTGAGGAAGAGTATGGATATGATCATCTAATGGGTACTCTCATTATTCATTGTAATGAAAATGTCTTCCTCAATATCACTTCTTCTTTTGATAGGTGCTAGCTAGCTGACAAAGACAAGATTAACGTAGATTAGTTGACATGATTTTGTAGTTGGCGCAGCTTTGGTCCTATTGCTTTGTAAAAAATTTTGTACATTCTCTTCCCAGACATGGGAAGTGAAAATTCGTTCCTCTGAATGATGAGTTGATGAATATACATACCTTTTCATGTTATATCAATCAATCTCAAGTATCCAAGGCATATTCTACTTTTACTTTTAATTTATTGATTATAGGTAGTGTATTAATTAGCAAGAAAATCAAATCCAGATTTCGCTCTAGGGGTATCAATTTCATCACCCCATTCAATAACTGTATTTTTTTTTTACGCAATTTATGTTTTTATCTTCAATAATATTTTCTCAATTCATAAAAGTATGCTGTGCGGGGAAACATGAAAAGATATAATCTGAGATGAACATACACCCAAAAAAAAGTGAGCATGGCATCTATTTAAAGGAAAGTGGTAGAAAATCATTTCAGATGTTTTGGATACATACAGAAAAGGCTGTGGGAGGCACCAATGAGGAGATTGAAATAGATAATCTTAAGCCTTCTATAAAGGAAGACTAAAAAGAATACTTATGGAAGTTTTTGAACAAGATTTCTTAGTTAACAATATTCATAAAAGCTTAGTTGATTAAAAAAGCACAATAACGTTGTGCAATCCATGTATCTAACGTCATGTAATGGATTTATTGTTGTAAAAATATGTGAACAAGTTCAATAGTTGGTAAGACTGGGAACTAAATTGAACTTTCTTGGTCCACTTTTTTTCCATATAGATTTTGGTACGTCATGGCCACTGAGTTAATAATCATGTTTTGAGTCACACGAGATCAGTTTTTTTCATAAAAATATGACAAACATCAAAGTAAAAATTTAGAAGTTTGAATTATTATTCAAACCTTGCAGCTACATTTCATTATAAATTTATAATCCATTTTGTTTTTGTTACCAGCATACATCAAATCTCTTATATGAGTTAGCATGATAGTTGTATACACTGTCCTTTAACATTGAGTGGTCCTTAAAAAGTACCTGTAAGACAATATCATGTGATCTCTTATGGCCATTGTCTATTGATCGAGTTCACATATTTTCATAAATTGAGATAATACCATTTGAAGACAAGAACATAAACGATGTTTTCTCACCAGTCTTACCTGTGGCTTTCTTGCATCTTCTTCTCTATGAACATTATTTGAAGCTTTGGAGAGATAGAATTACCTAGCCTTCCATTCATTGTTCCATTAATTCCCATCTTGATAATTAATGAATTGAACAAATAAAATAATCGAATTTGACCAGGAAATTCAGAATTAGATTTATTATCAAATAAATATTTTTAATCTTCCAAGGAGTTTCCTAGGATTAATTTGCATGCACTTATAACGAGACTCTTTGGTTTCCCTAAAACTAAATCTTGATTAGAATTTACTGTAATAACGAAAATAACTATCTCTTCGCAATCTTGCCACAAGAAAATAAAATTTAGTAAGCAGTCTTTACTAAAAGATCAATGCCTTTTTTGTCAAAAAAAAAAGATCAATACCTTTGATAGTCATAATTGATGGAAATCACATGAAAATTGTCTTCTTGTAAATTTCTGACTAACGCATAACATTTTTACACTTCTCAAGTAGGGGAAGAAGGAGGTTGGGGGGAATCTTTATATAGAAAAATTATCATCTGAATTGCCTTCTGGACAAAATTGTGTTAGACTAATCCAAGTTAATGCTCTCTTTCCAAGCTAGCACCGGTTGAAGGAAGAAGTGACTTTTAGGAAGACATCTTCTATGTAAGGAATAGTGAGAGCTCCAATTGGATGATCATACCTAAATTATTCTTCAGCTTCATTTAACAATTCTTGAAATGAAGGTTGATTCATGTAAGATATAGGGACTAAAAAACCTCTTCGTTTCCTCTCCAATAGATATTGCAAGATATCCTTTTGGTACTTCACTTGATTTTGAAGAAGTTACTTTTACAACAAAGGATGACCTCCTGATTCCTGGTAAATGAAAACCCATTTGCTTAAGAAGATAATAAGACGGAAGTGTTTGAATGCTTTTGATACTTGAGAGTATTGTGAAAGATTTGCATTGCTTGCTTCTAAAAGCGTGCAAGTATGAGTATATATAGATGAATGGTAGGGAGAAGGGTAATGTGATAGGAATTAATTATTGGAAGACAAGGGCATATAGATATCACATGGTGTTGTCTTAGATGTCTTTTTCCTTTTTAAAAAAAAAACAAGTCAGGATGCGTGCCAAATGAAGATGAACTTGAAAATCCTTTGGTAGAGAAATGATTGAAGAAGGGTCAATTAAGTATTGTGGAAAACGAACATGGATGAGAAGGATTGTTTTATGTCTTTCTCAAATGTCGATTGGAACTAGAACTTATTTTCTATCTTAAGGTTCTTATGGTTGTCCATTTCATTTCTTGACATGTTTGAGGCATCTCGTACATTTCATCAGTCTAACTGAGAGCTTGTTGGAGCGGTATTCTATTGAAAAGTACAAGTACAAGTGAAGGTTGGCTTGTCCTCAAGTTTTTGTTAAATATTAAGCCCTTTGAATTGTCTTTTACAGAATTCCAATAAGTATGCTTCTTGAGGTGAGGTTGAGTTGTCTAGAATGTTATAACAAATGAAAAATTTTATGGAATGTTGTCTCAATGGGATTTTTCTTGGCAAATTCTTTAGCACAATTAACAAATGAAAGCATAAGTAGGTTACGTGATCTACTTATGAAGCTGTATAAACAAAAGGCATCTTCCTTTTCCAATTCCCTACATTTCATTAGCGAGAAATTTCTTTACAAGAAAATTAGAGACTCTACCATGTGAAAAGCTTCTCTATTACGTAAAAAAAATACATAAGCATGCAAATTTGGGCCTCTTGTCAATGCAGTAGATGGCTCTTTAATTTGTTCCAACTTCCTATAGCAATCTATGTGTAGTATTTAAAGGACTTTTTACTCGCTTCTACATTATTTTTTTAAGGGGTATGCAGGATCTCAAGTTTCCTGCAGTTTTTTATTTCTAATCAGAAGACATGCCTTCTTACTTTTAAGTTAAATCTATCATGCTATCTATTAGATTGATGAAGATAAAGGTATAATAAGATGTATGTCAAGCATGTCTAACTTAAAATGACAACTTTAAAATTCTTCTAATGGACATTTATAAGCTTTAAATTGTTCAATTGAAATATACACTTCTTGAACACAAAACAAAATCATGTGAGTTTTCTCATCCATGTCCCAAGGACTACACCTCATTTAGCTAACCCTCTCAATCAATCATATTCCAACCAAATGTCTATCCAAGTCCTCTCTTTATTTATCTCGTCCTGACTTATTTCTTTTTGAAAAAGACCACCGGGACACAACCAAGTGAATTCTAAGAGGTCTTGTCTTCCAATAGGCACTATCACATAACCTCTCGTCCACCAATTATTGTAAAAAAAAATGAATCCATTCATCTTCTATATATACCCACACAGATGCAATATTTCTAAAGCAACACAGCTCTCCTACAATATCCTCAAGCATCAAAATTCGAATAGCTTCTTATTCTCTTTAATACAAAAAAATAGGTTTTCGTTTACCTAGAATTAGAAGGGCTTCAATTGCTGCAAAAATGGCTTCTTCAAAATCAGGTAAAGTACCAAAGGGATATCTTGTAGTCTATGTTGGAGAGGAAATGAAGAGGTTTGCGATCCCAATATCATATTTGAATCAACCTTCATTTCAAGAGTTGTTAAGCCAAGCTGAGGAAGAGTATGGATATGATCATCCAATGGGTGCTCTCACTATTCCTTGCAATGAATATGTCTTTCTCAATGTCACTTCTACTTTTGATAGGTGCTAGCTAGCTAACAAATACAAGATTAACGTAGACTAGTCAACACAATGTTATAGTTGGAGCAGTTTTGATCCTATTATTTTGTAAAAAAAAATATACTTTCTCTTCCCGAACATGGGAAGTTAAAATTTATTCATCTGAATGATAAGTTGATAAATATACGTTTTCATGTTATCTCAATCAATCTTTAGTATCAAACACATATTCTTCTTTTAGTTTTGGTTATTATATATGGGTTGTGTATTTATTATCTTGTAGCAAAATTGAGGGGGGAAAATAAATCCAGATTTCAAATCAATATAATAACTGTATTTTTAAAAGATGTAACAAAATTTATGTTTATGTCATCAATTACATATATTTTCTCAATTCATGAAAATATGTAAACTGGCTTCATTATGTGGTTTGTAAGACTGGGAACTAAATTGAACTTTCTTGGTCCACTTTGTTTCCTTGTAGACTTTGGTACATTGTGGCTGGGGTTAATAATCAAGTTTTGAGTCAGATAAGATCATATTTTTTTTATAAGAATATGAAAAATATTAATTTAAAAAATTTATAAGTTTGAATAGTTATTCAACCATTGCAGACAGATTTCATAATAAATTTATGGTCTATTTTCTTTTTGGTATATATCAACATTAACACTATATAAAGCATAGCAACCATCAAATCTCTTATATGAGCTGGCATGATAGTCTTGTGCACTGTCCTTTAACATTATGTGGTCTTTGAATAGTACCTGTAACTGTAAGTCAACATCATGTGATCTCCTATGGCCATTGTTTATTGATTGAGTTCACATATATTTTCATAAACTGAGATAATACCATTTGAAGACAAGAACATAAATTATGTTTTCTCACCAGTCCTGACCACCTGTGGCCTTCTGGCATCTTCTCTATGAACTTTCAATGATGCTTTGGGTTCGAAGTAGAAACTCTCTAAGATAATTATTGAATTAATATAAAATAAATTATAGAATTTTCCCAGGAAATTTTGAATTATTTTTATTATCAAATAAATATTTTCTAATCTTCCAATGAGTTTCCTAGGATTTTGACCAAAAACGGATTAATTTGCATGCACTTATATAGAGACACTTTTTTTACCCTAAAATTAAATCTTCATTAGAATGTACTGCAATAATAACGAACATATATAACTTTCCTTCTCAATCTTGGCTTAAGAAAACAAATATTAGTAATTAGCATAAACTTAAAGATCGGCGCCTTTGATAATCATAATAGGTTAAAATCACATGAAAATTGTCTATTAGTAAATATCTCATTGACGCAGACATTGTTACAGTTCCCAAGTAAGGGAAGAAAAGTGGGGGGAAATCTTTTCATAATAAAATTATCATCTGAATTTCCTTCTATACAAAACTGTGTTAGACTAATCCAAATTAATTGTCTCTTTGCAAGCTAGCACCCATTGAAGGAAGAAGTGACTTTTAGGAAGACATCTTCTGTGCAAGGAATAGCGAGAGCTCCCATTGGATGATCATACCCAAATTCTTTCTCAGCTTCACATAACAACTCTTGAAATAAAGGTTGATTCAAATAACATATAGGGATCACAAACCTCTTCAATTCCTCTCCGACATATACTGCTAGATGACCCTTTGCCACTTCACTTGATTTTGAAAAAGTTTATTTTGCAGCAAATGAAGTACTCCTCTTAATTACAGGTAAACGAAAACCCATTGTGTGTTTAAGAAGAGAACAAGAAGGAATTGTTGGAATAATATTGCTGTTAGTGGAGAGTATTCTGTGAAAGATTTGTGTTGCTTGCTTTTGAAAGAATACAAGCATTAGTATATATAGATGAATGGTGGTGGTGGTGGAAGGTTATATGGTGGGGAATAATTATTGGAAACAAGGTCATATAGAATCACATGGCAATGTCTTAGATGTCTTTTTCAGAAACCAACTAGTAAGGATGAGGCAAATGAAGAGAGGACTACAAAATTCTTTTGCCTGAGATATGATTGAGCAAGGGTTAGATAAGAAGTGTATAGTCCAGCGACATGGATGAAAAGGATCACATGATATTGTTTTACATCTTTCTCAAATGTCAAGAAGGGTCATTGGAAGTGCTCTAAGCATAATGTCTATCAAAAGGCTTTTTTAGTTGTCGGTTTCATTTATTGACATGCTTAAGATACTTGCTCTCAGAAGGATTGAAAATGATAAAGGAACCTCAAGAGGTGTCTCTATAAGCATGTCTTGAAATATCAACTATAAAATTCTTCAAATAGACAGCTTTGAATTGTTCAAATATTAATCCTTCTTGAAAAGAAAAACAGAATCATGTGATTTTTCTCATCCTTGTCTCAAGACTGGTCTACACCTCATTTAGCAAATCCTTGTTTTCTCTAAGACACACCCATGTGAACTATAGGAGCCCCTTGTTTTTCGATAGACACTACAACAAATAACCTCTTACCCGTAATTATTATAGGAAAACAAATCCACTCATCTATATATACAAAGCAAGCATTTCATAAGCAACGCATTTCCACCACATTATCTATCCTCAAGCATATGAACTTAAGTACTTTTGTATTTTCTTAAGCACAAGAAAATGGGTTTTCGTTTACCTGGGATTAGAAGGGCTTCAATCACTACAAAAATGGTTTCTTCAAAATCAGGTGAAGTACCAAAGGGATATCTTGCTGTATACGTTGGAGAGGAAATAAAGAGGTTTGTGATCCCTATTTCATATTTGAATCAGCCTTCATTTCAAGAGTTATTAAGCCAAGTTGAAGAAGAGTATGGATATGATCATCCAATGGGTGCGCTTACTATTCCTTGCAGAGAAGATGTCTTTTTTAGCGTTACATCTTCTTTCAATAGGTGCTAGCTGACAAAGAAAAGATTGACTATAGATTGGGCAACACAATTTTGTTATTGGAGCGATTTAGATCATTTTATTCTTTGTAAAGAGTTTTGTTCTTTTTCTTCCCCTACTTGGGAAGTGAAAAATGGTGTATATCTCAACGAGAAATTGATTATGGAGAAAAAAATATTAGTTTTTTTGATACTCAAAATAATTTTATATTTCCTTGGCAAAATCTTTTAAATTTTTAATTTCAACTCAATAATTATATTTTATAAAGAAGACATACATCATTTATGTCACTATATATGTTAAATGATATGATTCAATTTGCACTTAAACATATGTGAACTCAGTTCAATATTCAGTAAGACTAGGAACTACTTTCTTGGTCCACTTTGTTTCTGATAGGAATAGGAAGCAACCGCCCAAAAATAAGGGGCTGGGTGTGCTTTGGCCACTGAATTAACAATCAAGTTTGTGGTCCTTTTTTTTAGGTATCAACAGTACCACAGAACGAATTATCCTACACCCTTCACGCGGTCTTGTCTCAAAACACAATATGGCATTTATTGAAGCCACCAATCTTAATCTATTAGTCTTATATATATGAGTTGGCTTGATAATTTATGGACTTGATCCTTAAAAACTACCTCTAAGACAATATCATGTGATCTCTTATTGTCATTGTCCCTTCATACATAAAGCTTAATCAGAGTTTTATATTTTATTTTTCCTTTTTCAAGAGTACTCTTTAAATGTATTATTAATTTGATGATATTGTAGAGATACTATACGACATGACAATTAGACATTTGTTAATTACCATAACTCATATTTTCATTGGCAACTGATGTAACTTATTTTAATATATAAACAAATTTTTAAAAAATAGGGGGAATGATGCTGGCGAGGCGGCATCTTACTTTATACTGAGTTGCAAAAAAGCAAATTTATAGAAGCTTTTGGCATCCATAAATTATTTTGAATTGAATTATTTTGAATTTCTTATTCAAAGTTTCTTAGCGTTTTACCATCATAGTAGTTATTCCGTGGAAGCTTTTGGCATCTTTAAAAAAAAAAACTTGATTTGATTTCACTACATAGAAAGCCATAACATTTTTCCTCAGTTTTGCAATAACAAAAAGAATGAATCTTTAAATAAACATAAATTCAAAGTTGGATGCATTAAATGTTCAAAATTGACTGAGAACATCTCATTCAAATAAACAATTTCCCACTGTTCAAGGGGGAGAAAAAGAAAATGAAACTCTTTATAAGGTCAGAGGATCTAAATTGCCTCCTTTTAGAAAACTGTAGTGTAATAAACTAATCTAAGTTAGTCTTGTCTTGGCACATTAGCACCCATTGAATGAAGAAGTGACATGTAGGAAGACTTCTTCTGCACAAGGAATAGTGAGGGCGCCCATTGGATGATCATATCCAAACTCTTCCTCAGCTTGACTTAATAACTCTTGAAATGAATGTTGACTCAAGTAAGATATGGGGATGACAAACCTCTTCACCTCCTCTCCAACATATATTATAAGACATCCCTTTGGTACTTCACTTGATTTTGAGGAGGCCTGTTTTGCAGCAAAAGAAGAAGTCCTCCTAATTCCAGGCAATCGAAAACCCATTGTTTTTATGTTTAAGAGGATAAGAAGGATGTTTGAATAATATTGACACTTGAGAGTATTCTATGAATGATTTGTGTTGCTTGCTTCAGAAAGCATATAAGTATTGGTATATATATAGATGAATGGTGGTGGAGGAAGAAAGGTTATGTGATGGGGAATAACTATTGGAAACAAGGTCATATAGAGATCACATGGTATTGTCTTGGAGGTCTTTATCAAAAACCAATGAGTCAGTATAAGCCAAACAAAGAGAGGACTCGAAAATCCTCTTGTTTGAGATATGATTGAACAAGGGTTAGGTAAGAAGTGTAGTCCAGGGACATGGATGAGAAGGAGCACATGATATTGTTTTATGTCTTTCTCAAATGTCAAGAATTGGAAGTACTAAAAGCATAATATCTATCAAAAGGCTTTTATACTTCTTGTTGTCATTTATTGACATGCTTAAGATGCATTCTCTCAGTAGGATTAATGAACCCTAAGAGGTATCTAAAGCATGTCTTGAGATGTCAAATGTATAATTCTTCAAAAAGACACTAAGCTTTGAATTGTTCAAATAATATATCTTGAATACGGAACAGAATCATGTGATTTTTCTCATCCTTGTCTCAGGTCTGGTCCACACCTCATTTAGCTAACCCTCTATCACTTATATATATCTCAAATGAATGGATATCAAAGTCCTCTTTAAGATACAACCATGTGAACTGTAAGAGCCCTGGTCTTCCAATAGACACTTACTAATAACCTTGCACCCACCAATTATTGTAGGAAAACAAATCCACTCATCTACATATATACATATATATACAAGAATGCATTTCATAAGCAAAGCATCTCCATAACATCATCCTCAAGCATCTAAGTTTGAGCACTTTCTTATTCTCTTACGCACAAGAAAATGAGTTTTTGTTTACCTGGGATTAGAAGGGCTTCAATGATTACAAAAATGGCTTCTTCAGAATCAAGTGAAGTACTAAAGGGATATCTTACCGTTTGCATTGGAGAGGAAATGAAGAGGTTTGTGATTCCTATATCTTACTTGAATCAGCCTTCCTTTCAAGATTTACTAAGCCAAGCCGAGGAAGAGTATGGATATGATCATCCAATGGGTGCTCTCACTATTCCTTGCAGAGAAGATGTCTTTATTAGTGTTACATCTTCTTTCGATAGGTGTTAAAGAAAAGATTGACTTTATATTGGCCAACAATTTTGTAATCGAAGCAATTAGATCCTTTTCTCTTTGTAAAGTTTTTTGTTCTTATTTTTCTTGCCCTACTTGGGAAATTAAAATTTTTGTATCTTAATGAGAAATTGATGAGTATAAAATTTCACATTATCTCAATCAATTATCAATATCAAATGCGTTAACCTTTTTAGTTTATGTTACTATGAGTTGTCTTTTAATTGTCTTATAGTAAAATTGAGAAAAAAATATTATATCCTTTAATCGAGTAATTCAAGTCCACATTTCGCTAGCTCTAACGGAATCAAACATCACCCTTTTATCATCGAAGTGGCTTCCCTTGAGAAGTAATCTCCAATATACGAAACAATTTTTAGACTTCCACTTTTACTTTTACTTCCTAAGTCCTAATTCTATAAGATTCGAATAGTGATTATGAAGACTTTTAAAAAAAATAATGGCTTTTATGATACCCAGTAATTTTATTTTGTAAAGATGTAACATCATTTTAATTTCCACTCAATAATTATATTTTGTCTGGGAAAAAATTATTATATTTTGTAAAGAAGATGTAACATTATTTATATTACTATGTTAAATGATGTGATTCAACTCTTAATTAAAAATCATGTTTTTAGTAACATGACAAATGTCAAAATAAAAATTTAAGAAGCTTGTGTAATAACCCAAGAATTTTAAAGAAAAATTAAAATATATAATATTTTATTTGAGTGCATTCTTAACAAGAAGAGTTCGCATGGTGGACGCTATCTTGCCATTTACCTACTGGGTCCTAAGTTCGAATCTTAAGGAGGCTAGGAGTGGAGGGTTTTTTTTTTTTGTTCTAGCTTCTTCCAAAATTACCGTCATACCCTTCTTCAAATCTAAAAGTATTATTTTCTCTTACCATTTGATTTCTCCAGAATTGTGTAGAGAAAGGAGCTCTGATTTTAGCCTTTCCTCCATTTTTCCCCTACCCCTCCATCTCATCCCTCCCGTTTTCAGTGGTCGTCGGAATAAGTGGAGACTAGTTGCAGGTGGCCGCAGAGTGCTCGGTGCTATTGCAGAATCACCTTTCTTGTTTGCTGTTTCCTCCGTCCGTGTTTGTGTCGGTTGTGGTGTGGGGGTGGGTCACGTTATCGAAATTGGAGTGATATCAGTTTCGGTCTGGGGGGAGTTTCCATTTCTTCCCCCTACTTCATCTTGGCTGGTTTAAGGGGTGTAGAAGAAAAAGATTTTGATGGGATTTTTTTTTGACAGAATTTTGATAGGAGTTAAAGAGAGAAAATCATTGAAAATTGGGAATACTGCAAGTGGATAGCATTCTAACTAATTTATGAATAAAATTCTTTTAATATTTTTTACATAGATTATTTAATAACAATTATATTACATACTTAATACTTTGTGAATTAAATTATTTTTATCTTAAAAAATTATAAAGAGATGTTGAAGGATATTTGAATTATGATGTGTGTGTTTTTCCCTTACAAAGGTTACTTTCAAGATTGATGAAATTATTTTTATCAGTTTTGGTAATTTTGATTTCTCAATAAATGCAAGCCTAGACATCAATTATGAAATCTTATTTTGGATTTTAATGTTCAAAATTCTTCATGTGAATTTGATTTTGAGAATGAAAATTATATTTTAATAGTGATAGCTTTCTTAAACATTTGAAAATGGATTTGGAGGGAATTTTATACAAAACACTAGTTGCTAACAGCAGTTTTGTTAGCCTTTGGCGCACCATGATCAATGACTAGCTAGTTTGATTTTTCATAAGCTCTATTCTTACATTTGTTATTTGTGTGTCTCATACTCACATTTGTTTTCATGGCTTTAAGCCGTGTTTAGTTAGTATTACCCTTGGGAATTGTGTGTCCACGCTTGTTTTCATAGCTTAGGCTGCGTTTGGTTACTATTATTCTCGTGGACTGTGTGTCCATATTTGTTTTATAGCTCAAGCTGTGTTTGATTACTTACTCTCATGAACTGTGTGTTCACATTTATGAATTGTTCTGATAAATTTCCATAAATATAAATTTTAAGGAATTGATGATTTCATATTTTAATGGTTTTTAAATTGTAAATGTTATTTATTTATTTAGTCTATTTGTCTTGTCAAGATTATATGATAAAGTTACTTTGTTATAAAGATCTAAAGGTTCATGATATTGAAATTATGTAGAAATTTTTATTACAAGTTTACAAATTTTATTATATTTGTAATAGCCCATACAAATAATAATAATAATAATAATAAGTATAATAAGTATACATATTATAAGTTGGCATTTAATAATAGTTATATTGATTTGGAAACAAGTTTAGCAAGAAGAAGTGTTGGTTTAGTGGAGTCAATATCGGTCCTGTACTTATTAAGTCCCAAGTTCGAACCAATTCTGGAGCATAAAGGAGAAGTTTTATTTCTTTTACCTGTATGAAATTACCACTTTGCCCTTAGAATAATAAATAAAATAAGGTGAGTTTTAGACAAAGCAGACGTGTACTCCTCAGCCATATAAGTCAGTTCACAGAGTGAGAAAGAGAAAGAGAAATATGCAAGCTTATCACGATTCTTGCTCTTCATTCTTCAGTGGTCACCGACTGTTCTTCTCCTTCATATTTTCAGTGGTCGCCGGCCAGAGTGAAGCTTGAGCTGCGCTGGGTGGATCTCTCTGTGCTCCTTGTCTCTATTTTTCCTCTTCATTTTCTACTCTGTTTCTATTTATGTCGTCACCTTTGAGTAGCTGCTGGGACAAGAGACTGAGTTGCCGGAGCTGTGGCGGTGCTGTAGTGAGTCTGGATTGTTGCTGTTGATTCATTTGCTATGTTTCCTTACAAGTAGCGTCTAGTTTTTCTGCTCCCCTGTTCTACTGCAAGCTTCGTTTTTCTCCTTCCCATAATGTGTGCAGCGTCGACTCTCTCTTCTATTCAGTATTTAAGGACCTTCTTCTTCCTCCTCTGCTGTCCGCCGCTGTCTGGGCTAGCCAAGTTGAGGTGAGAAGTTTTGAACTCTCCCATTGTTAATCTGCTATGCCCGTGAGAGTAAGAGATAAGAATATGAGTGTTGTGTGTATACGTGAAACGTAGAAAGTAGTGTGTGCGCTACTGTTATTGCTTGGTATGTGTAGTCACGGCAACCTCACATTTTTTTGCCGTCACTCATGCTGTTACATAGAGAGGAGAAGACTGAAATTTAAGCTAGAAATTCATCTAAACTTGGTAATAATATATGATATATGTGGGTTGAGGATTGGGGTTTTAAAAATTTATCCCCTCTGTGACTGTGAGTACATGCATAAAAAAAACAAGAAGAAGAAGAAAAGTAGGAATTTCTATTTAAATGAATATTGTGGTTGTGCAAGGAAGCAAGATGATATTGTAGATTGAGATTCCATTTGGAAATGATGGAATTGGTGATATTGCAAGGTCTCAATGAAACTGAAATTTAGGAAGGAAAATATCAACATTAACTTAAGCAATTATGTATCTATGTTGTTTGATGAAATACCTAGTAGAAAATTTTATCTCAAAGAAATGGAATGGCATGGCTAAAGCTTTATGGAGGAAGTCATAAAGATGAGTGATAATACTTGGACCAATTTTAAATCATAAATTTGGCTTTGAATTCTAGATGACGATGGTTAATTTGGAATTGTACTAGAGATCAAAAATCTATGAAAATTTTATTTATTTATTTATATCCTAATAGGGTGCGAGGAAGAAAAAGACTTTGACCAGAACTAAAGAAAGGATACCTTGGAGAATTTCAAACTCTGACGTGTAAGTGAATAGCATTCCATTTAATTTATTTTTATAGTCTTTTATTGAAATACTTTATTCTTATGAATTACATAAATTTTGGAAATATTGGAATATTAATGAATGATAAATAAATTATGATCTGTGCATTTATTTATTCTCAAAAAAATATATGTTCAGGATTGATGAAAGCATTTTTATATGGTTGTTAAGCTTTGAAACTTCTTGGCTACTCAATTAAGGTGAGTTTGGTGTGTTAGCTATAAAGTATGATTTTGACAAATTTTGAGATTTAAAACAATTCATGTGAGCTTGGTATTGAAAATGATAATTTTACTATAGCAATAATTATTTTCTCACATGTTTGAAATGTGATTTTTAAGAGAGCTCTAAACAGAACACTGCTGCTAACAGTAGTTTCGTTAGCCCATAGCGCGCTGTGGTTAAAAACTAGCTAGTTTGTCTCGTGAGCTTTGTTCTCACGTTTGTTATTCGTGGGCTTTGTACCCGCGTTTGATTTCGTGGCCTAAGCCACGTTTGGTTAGTATTACTCTTGTGGACTGTGTGTTCACGCTTGTTTTCGTGGCATAAGCCGTATTTGGTTATTTACCCTCATGGACAGTGTGTTCACGTTTGTTACCTGTTCTGTTGAGTTCTCAAAATTTAAAATGTGGACAAATATCTGTTTTCAAATTTTACATGATTTTGACTAGCAAATACATCACTTGGATTTACGTGTGAATAAAAGGTTTTCTTTAAGCATGATAAAAACATATTACTTCCAACTTACTTTCATTTTACGATTATGATTATGACTTGCAGATTTATAAATTTATTTTGTTAAATTATTTTTATTTAGTTACACTATCATTAGAGTTTGTTAATTTAAATTTCAAAACTTTACTTTGAGAATGCTATTCACTGAAAAATTTATTTAACCTCAGATTTGTTAGTTAACGCTGATCCCACCATCGACCTTTAAAAGGCAAAATAGCTATTGTGGGTGGAAATTTTTGATTGGTACTGTTACTTTTAATGTAAATATATAATTCGTATGTCTTTTTGATTTAAAAGAAAGATTACATGCTCCACATAAATTGTTGATAGACCTTATTTTGGGTGGTATATTAGTTGTTGGCTGGAAGGAGCTACGCTCTTGCTTTATATTGTTATCTATAAAAAAATTTGTTGTAGAATTTTCAGGAGATCCTAATTACAGGGGAGGTTCTACCAAAATTTTTACAAAAACGTTGAAACTTTTTTATGACAATTAACATGAAAAAATTATTTTAACTTTCAAGTAATTTGATTAAAATTTTTTTCTTTTGTAAAACGGAATAAATTTTCATTTTGAGGCTTACGGGGATGTGTAATTAGTTCGCACCCATGCCGGTCACTCTCTAATTTTGGGGCATGACAATATTAAATCATTTTCTCTTTAATTTCCATAACCATTGCAAATTATTCATTTTTATGCTTTTAAATATTATGGTTGGGACATTATTCACAAAAAAAATTTTGTTTAGTCTCAAATAGCATAATTGACATGGTACCTCCTGGTGACTTCTGATCGACTCACTGCTGAATTGACTAAGATCAGTTTTTTTTATAATATTTTCCTTTTTAAGTAAATTCTAAAATTTATGTATCATGTTTTGAAAAACAAGTAGGGTATAAGATGCTTCACATTAACTATAGTTAGGGTTTTAATTCTCTTTGTTATATTATCTATCTGTTGCTAAGGAGTAGAGCTCTATATTGTTGGGTGTAAATTGTAAAATTTTTGTTGTAGGAGAGGTATTGTTGAAATTTTTACAAAGAGTTTGATATTTTCATTATGTGAAAAGTAAAATTTAAAGATATATATATATATATATATATCCAGGCTGAAAGCGAGTTAAATGGATAAATTTAAAACTTTCCTTAATCGAGGTTCTAGGAGTGTGTGTTTGTACATATATCCCATGTTAGTCATGTTATTTTTGGGACGTAATAGCTTGAATAGATATTTAATAATTTATGGTCAGCTTTTGGTGGTAACAACAGTACGATAGAATGAATTATCAATATCATACGCTCTTCATGCAGTCTTGTCTCGAAACAGTATGGCACATATTAACCCCATCAGTCTTAATCGATCATTCTTATATTAGTTGGCTTAATAATTTTATGTATTGTGCTTTCATATCTTGATCCTTGAAAAGTACCTCTGAGACAATATCATGTGATCTCTTATTGGCCATTGTCCCTTTGTATCCTGAAGCTTAATCCGTTTAAGTTCTATTTTTTATTTTTCCTTTTTCAATAGTTCTTTAAATGTATTATTAATTTGATGATATTGTAGAGATACTATGCAACAAATCTATTCAGCATTAGTTGATAATCATTACTCATATTTTCTCATTTTAATTTATAAAAAAAGGAAAAATATTGTATAAGCTACATCATACTTTATACTGAGTTGAAAAAACGAAAATTAATAGATTTTGTTATATTATCTTATCAAATGGAATTATTTTGCATTTCTTCATAAAAATTTCTTAGATTTTTTTCAAAGTTATTATGTAGAAGCTTTTGGCATCTAAAAATAACTTGATTTGATTTTGTGAGAAAGGAAGTCACAACATTTTTCCTCAGTTTTGCAACAAAAAATAATGGAACTTCAAATAAACATCAATTCAAAGTTGGATGCATTAAATATTCAAAATTATTTAGAACGTCTCATTCAAATAAACAATTTGCTACTTCTCAAGGGGGAAGAAAAAGAAAATGCAACTACTCTTTACAAGGTCAAAGGATCTAAATTGCCTCCTTTACTGTGTAAAGAACTAATCTAAGTTAGTCTTGTCTTAGCAAGTTAGCAGCCATTGAAGTAAGAAGTGACATGTAGGAAGGCATCTTCTGAGCAAGGAATAGTAAGAGCACCCATTGGATGATCATATCCAAATTCTTCTTCCGCTCGACTTAACAGCTCTTGAAATGAAGGTTGATTCAAGTAAGATATGGGGATGACAAACCTCTTCACTTGCTCTCCAACATATACCACAAGATATCCCTTTGGTATTTCACTTGATTTTGAAGAAGCTGTTTTGGTGGCAAATGAAGCCTTTCTCATTCCAGGTAAACGAAAGCCCATTTTTGTGTTCCAGAGAACGAGAGAGAGAGAGAGAGAGAGAGAGAGAGAGAGATCAAAATTTAGATGCTTGAAGATATTGTTTTAGAATTGCTATGCTTCTAAAATGCTTGCAAGTATGGGTATATATAGATGGATGGATTTGTTTTCCTTCAACAATTGGTGGGCAAGAGGTTATGTGATAGCCAATTAGAAGACAAGAGCTCACTAGTTATCACATGGTTTTGTCTTGGTGGTCTATTTCAGAAAGAAACAAGTCAGGACGACGTACAATGAAGAGAGGATAAGATTAATGAATGGTTGGCTGAATGAGGTGCAGTCCAATCCAGGGACATAAATGAGATAGATCACATGATTGTGTTTTATGTCTTTGTCAAATATCTAGAAGGATCATATTGGAACAGTTTAAAGCTCTTCTAATGTCTATCTAAATATTTTGATAGTTGTCATTTCAAGTTATAACATGCTTGAGACATCTCTTATGTTTCCTTCATCAGTCCAGCTGATAGCATGATAGAGCAGCATTTAACTGAAAAGTAAAAGTAAAAAGTTGGCATTTCTATATTTTCAGGTTAAGAAGTGGTTTGGAATGTCGGCTCTAGATCCGGGATTTACCAAAAAGAAAATAGAATCACCATCAATTTTGAAAACTAGTACTAAAATAGTTGATAACGTCTTTTGTAGGGCATAAAACTATTTTGAAAGCAGGAAACATCATTGTTAAAGCCAGCTGATTTAGGAGAGATTGATTAAAATCTTAAAATCTTGTGAAGGAGAGAATATCATGATCACTAAATTGTACAAGAAAGACCACGTTTGGCGTACATTCCTTAGTTGTACAAGATGATCTAATGGACTCGAATAAAGTTTGGATCGCTGTTCTATGATGTTGATACATACCAGAAACTAAAGTAGTCACAGATTATTCATGAAATCTAGTGGTTGCCATGCACCAAAGAGGATTGATGCAAAAAATCTATTAAGAAATCATGTGTAGCAAGAAAGTTGAATATAGATGCCAACGTTACCAGCTATTGAATTTAGTTCACATATTTTATTAGTTGAGATAATATCATTGGAGAACAAAATATAACTGGTGTTTCCTCTACCTTATAAAATATAATTACACAGTTGAAATTAGAAAGTCATATAACTTTCCCAGGAAATTTACAATTATTTTTATTATCAAATAACAACTAAAAATTCCTCTGAGAGTTTCAAGGGGATCAATATGCTTGAACTTATAGAGACGCTTTTGTTTCCATAAAACTAAATCTTGTTTTGAATTTTCTGGATTATTAAAGAATATAACATTTTCAGTAGCCTAAACTAAAAGCTCAATGCAATTGATATTCAAAATTGACTGAAATAACGTGAAAATTGTCCATTCGTGAATTTCTCATCCCACTTACAATTTGTCATTTCCCAAATATATATAGGAAGAAAAAGAGGGCAAAATCTTTACATAGAAAATTATCATCTAACTTTCCTTCTATACAAAGTTGTGTTGACTAATCTAATTGTTGATGTTGTCTTTTCATGCTAGTACCCCTTGGAAGAGATGACTTTCAAGAAGACATCTTCTCTGCATGGAATAGAGAGGGCACCTATTAGATGATCAAATCCAAATTCTTCTTCTGCTTCGCTTAACAACTCTTGAAATGAAGGTTGATTCAAGTGAGATATAAGAATCACGAACCTCTTCATCTCCTCTCCAACATATACCGCTAGATATCCCTTTGGCACTTCACCAGATTTTGAAGAAGTGATTTTTGTAGCAAATGAAGTCCTCTTGACTTTAGGAAAACGAAAACCCATTTTTGTGTGTAAGAAGAATAAGAAGGAAGTGTTTGAATGTTGTTGCCTGAGAATATTGTGAAAGATTTGTGTCGCTTGCTTCTGAAAGCATACAAGCATGTGTATATATAGATGAATGGCGGAGGAAAGGGAAAGAGATAGGGCTTAATAATTTGAAGACATGGGCATGTAGAGTTCACAAGAGGTTGTCTTAGAGGTCTTTTTAAAAAAGCAACTAATCAGGATGAGCCAAATGAAGAGAGAGGGCACCGAAACCCATTTGGTTGAGATATGATTGGGAAAGGTTTAGTTAGGCGGTGTAGTCCAAAGACTTGGATGAGATGGATCACATGATATTGTTTTTTGTTTCTCAAATCTTAATGTCTATCTATTATCTAAAGAACTTTATAGTTGTCATTTCAAGTTATAAACATGCTTGAGAAATCTCTTAGGTTTTTCCTTTATCTGCATTAGTCCAATTGAGACCATATTAGAGCAGCATTCAGTTGAAAAGCCCAGGTATTGAACCTTTAGAAAGTGTGTCTTTTACAGGATTGCAATAAATATGCTTCTTGGATCAGGTTAATAAAATGTCTAGAACGTTATACCAAAAGAAAAATTGTCTAAAATGTTGTCTCAAGTGGAATACTTTTCTTGGCACATTCTTAGGCGAAACTAAATATGACGACTAGCAAACATCAATTGATGCGATTAATGAAGTTATTAATGAAAGTCAGATAGAACAAAATGCATTTTGCTCTCGTCCATTCCCACCTGTAACTAATCACCTCTAAATTTCTTCATTGAACAATTAGAACCTATATATACTATATAAAAATGTAAATTTCTTCACATAACAATTAGAGTCTAACACTTCACGTTCTTATTCATCTCTTAGATAACATTGTGTAATTCAATAGCAGCTCAATAAGAAATTTTGAATAATCAATGATGGGAAACCATGGAGCTATATTTTTTTTTATTGTTCATACTTCTTATTGGAAAAAATAATGTTCAAAGCACAGTTGAGATTAAATATGGGTACTTCTTACAATGATGATTCGAATTTTAATTTGCCACTTTATGGAAGGACTAGCCCTTTTCACAAGACCCAACTCTTGTTAGTCCATGAAGCTATATTTTACATTTGATGAACTAAATATTTTTCCTCAGCTCATTAGGAATTATCTTCTATATGTTTATGTCTTTCTTGATTCTTGAGACAAACTTTGACCTCACAAGCACATATCTGTTTGACGACTTCAAAATTCATGTTTCACACTCACAGTTCAATCAAAGTTATGGCAATCAACTAATTAACGATTGTGTTGGAAAGTATCTTTTAAATATAATCAAATTAATAACACAGTTAAAGACGACTATATACATGAAAAAAAATAATGAAATGGAACTCAGATGATGCTTCAGGATGCTTTCTTGTGAACAAGCATTAAGATGTTACAAAGCGATCGACAAGGACCATAAGAAATCACATGATATTGTCTTCAAGGTTTTTTTCAAGGGTCAAGATGTTAAATGAGAAGACATTACAATTATATATCAAGACAACTAATATTAGAGAGATCATATTAGAAATTAGTTTTATTGATACATAACATTAGAACTTCTTAGGATTAATTGGCTTGCAGTTACATATACTTTTATTACCTTAAAGCAAAATCTTTATTTGAATTTACTATATTAAAGAATATGATTTTTTCCAGAATTTTTCTACATAATAATAAAAGGCCCATTTGGATTTTATTTGGGTATAATTGATTATGAAAATAATTGATTAATATTATTGATTTTGATTATAATTGATTATATTATAATACAATCTATTTGAATACAATTTTTTAAAATTAATTTTAGCAATATAAATTACCATAAAGGGCATTGCTTTTTAAAATTAAATTATCAATAAAGTTGTATTTGATATTATTAAATTTGTTAAACTTTATTTAAGAAGTAAAATATATTATTTAATGATAAAATTGAATCTATAAACAATCTTTCAGAGCTTATTTCATAACATGATTCTAACTCAATGATCAATTATTAAATTTTTTAACTGTTTGGTTAATTTTGGTTAAAATTGATTATTTGGCCCAGATTATGTGTTGAATCCAAACACGCTGAAAATCCTTAGTTGCCTAAACTAAAAAATTCAATACCTTAAGATGAAGGTGAAAATTTTCATTCATAAATTTCTCATTCTGGTATACATTTTTTCACTTGCCAAGTAGTGGGAAAGAAAAAAGAATAAAAATCTTTACAAAGCAAAAGGATTTACAAAATTGTGTTGACTAATCTACGTTAATCTTGTCTCTACCCTCAGTTAGCACCTATCAAAAGAAGAAGTGACATTGAGGCAGACATCTTCTCTGCAAGGAATAGTGAGAGCGCCCATTGGATGATCATATCTATACTCTTCCTCAGCTTGGCTTAACAATCCTTGAAATGAAGGTTGACTCAAGTATGATATGGGGATTGCAAACCTCTTCATTTCCTCTCCAATATAGATTGCAAGATATCCCTTTGGCACTTCATTCGATTTTAAAGAAGCCACTTTTCTAGCAAATAAAGCCCTTCTCATTCCGGGTAAATGAAAGCCCATTTTCTATGTTTAAGAGAATAAGAAGAAAGTGCTCAAATTTAGATGCTTGAGGATATTGTTGTAGAGTTGCGTTGCTTCTGAAATGAAAGCAAGTATGAGTATATATAGATATGAATGGATTTGTTTTCCTTAAATAATCGGTGGTTTAGAGGTTATGTGATAGGGGCCACTAGAAGACAAGGGCTCCTTGAGATCACATGGTTGTGTCTTTAGAGGTCTTGCTCAAAAAGCAACAAGTCAGGACGAGCGAAATGAGCAAAGGACTTGGAAATTTCATTTGGTTGAGATATGATCGATGAAGAGTTAATGAGTTGTAGTCCAGTCCAGAGACATGGATGAGAAGAATCACATGACTCTGTTTATGTCCTGTTAAATAGCAAGTACGATCATTTGAACAGTTAAAAGATTAGTGTCTATTTAAAATTTTATAATTGTCATTTATGTTCTAGACATGTTTGAGACATCTCTTATGCTTCCTTGATCAATCTAACTGATAATTTGATAGCATGCTGGAGCAGCATTTTAGTGAAAAAGCATGATTAACAATTGGCATGTCTATAGATTCAAATTGGAAATTGAAGTTCGTATCGTCATGTCTCTAATCAAATTGTGTGTTCTTATATAAACAATCAAGGAGATTAGAGGAAACTATTTAGCAATAT